TAAGAACAATAAGGCTCTACTAATCACAATAATGAAAATTTCCATGATACCTTCCACATTGTAATGAAAATTTCATCATGCCATAAAATATTAACAGATTCATTATATAACCACCAGGCTTTTTTTCATGCATTGTAAAAATGCTGGAGCAACTCACCACGTATTCGAAAACGAATGTCAGTGTCTCTTTGGTGTGGATTATGTCATGCAGGAGCACAATATTGGCATGTTTCAAACCCTTCAGGAGAGAAGCTAGAAAAATTAAACAAAATGTTCAATCAGTCATTAATAATGAAAGTGTTTCTTTAAAGATATCAAGCAATTTTTATTTTTATTTTTTAAACATTTCAAATCAAGCATTCTGGTTTTCTACTGCTGGAGAAGAATCTCTTGTTGCAAAATAATATTTAAAATTACAAAGGATCTTTATTATTTCAAAAATGTAGAATTGTTTAATTCATACAACTTATTGTTCTTACAGGCCAGAGTGGTTGCAAAAAAATATGTTTCCATTTATCTAATCAATTTCATCAAAGCACTCAGCACTTTGTGAATGCTCTCCTCTGAGAATCTTATCATCCCTGCTTCAGAGCTACAGAGGAGGAGGCCTGGAGAGATAAAGGCCATTGGAGGAGCAGAAAATAGAGTGTTCTACCTTGTAGAGCAGGACTTTGCAACATGTAACCAGTCTCTGAAATTTAAAGTCCCACAAGGGGTCAACAGGGCCTGTAGATGGGATCAGTGGGGAGTCAGGGATAAGAGCATGGGATAAAGAATTGTTGAAACATAATAGAGAGTGGAAAGGAATTCTTAAAGAGAATGTTGCAAACCTCTGTGGAAAGGAGAAAATGCAAACTTGAAAAGAGGAGAGGGCCAAATCTGGGGACCCCAAGAGAATGGGAATGGGGAAGGCTGAGGACTATTTCTTGCCTCTTCAGTAACAGATTATTATGAGGTTACTAAAGGCAGTGTAAAAGGGGAGAAGACACCATAAAAGGCTGGGAATGGCTAGGATGGGTTTTGAAAGGATGGGTTTTGGGGTGAAGGAGTTTGGATGTATTCTCCTCCCACAACTCATGTGGAAATCTGATCCCCAATGTGGCAGTGTTGGGAGCTGTTTGAGTCATGGGGGCGGATCCCTCATGAATAGATTAATGCTCTCCCTGGAGAGTGGGGGTAGTGAGTGAGTTCTCGCTCTATTAGTTCCTGCAAGATCTGGTTGTTTAAAAGATCCTGGCACCTCCCCTCTCTCTCTCTTGCCTCCTGTCTCCATGTGATCTGGTTGTATCTGCCAGCTTTCCACCATGAGTAGAAGCAGCCTGAGGCCCATGTCAGATGCAGCTGTCCCAGAATTGTGAGCCAAATAAACCTCTGTTCTTTATAAATTATCCAGTCTCCGGTATTCTGTTATAGCAACACAAAACGGACTAATAAAGGGTTCCAGAGATAGGAAGACCCCTGACATCAGGAAGGTAAAGGCCAGAAAAGGCACAAGAAGGAGATGATGGGTCTTAGCTCAAAGCATCCCTGCATATAGAAAGTGTCTTTAAGAAGACTTAAAGGAAAGATTAAGGATAAACGCAAATCTGTGCTCCATAGAATATGCCTGCATATCATGAATCTCCTGCACCAACTCTCACCCAGAATAGAATTCCGTGGTTAAAAACAAACAACTCAAATACTCTCTTAAAATTGGGAACAAAATTATCTCCTTCAGGAATCTAATCTTATTGTAATGAACATCTGTTGTTTTGCCCTCCTGGCAGCCATTCTCCCTTTTAGGGAGGACACCTCTATTTTTATCAGGGGAATTGACCTCTTCCTACTCAGTCCATGCTGTTCTGGCGGGGCTGACCCAACTTCTGTCCAAGAGTGGGCATGTGACCCAGGCCTGGCCAATCAGAGCACAGCATCTCCCTAGCCACAGAGATTAGTTCAGAGACAAGCACAAAACCCAAGCCTGGGAGAATCCTACTTTGTTTGGTGTCATCGCAAAAGAAATGCTTTCTTTTCCACTGTGAGGGCTGAGCTTGTAGGATTTAGCTAGGAGCTGCTGGGGCTATATACCAATACCTGGTGACATCATGCCTGAGAATAAAACTAAGGCAGAGAAAAAACCAATGTTGGGTGATGGAGAGACGTGGATTGCTGGTGATGTTGTTTGTGTCCTGCAAGCCTGTAGCTATCAGATCTGTGAGCCAGTGAATTTCCTTCCTTATTTAAGTCAGTTTGAGCTGGGAACCTCTTACCACCAAAGGAGCTCTATCATACCTTTTAACTCTACTTTGTTCTTATGACTAATGCTCTAATTTTTACTTTTTGCCCCCAGAGTCCTTATGGGCTAAATCTGCTATTTCACTTCTACAAATGTGTTGCTTTGTAAATACAGTAAACAGTTTCATGTGTATCTGTTTAATTTCCCTAGTCCCAATCTGAAGGCTACATGGGATTTGAGGGAGTGACTTACTTTCTCTTTTGGATGCTGCCACACTACCTAGTACAACGCTCAGCCAAAAGTAAGCACTTAATTTATCAAAAATATTTATTGAGTGCCTTAAGGGAGAACTGTCTGTGGAGCCAGAAGCCCTAATATGAATCCTGGTCCTGTCACTTTCTATCTGAGTAAGCTCTGGACAGTATCTCAACCCAAGTCTCAATTCACTCCTTATGAAAAGAGATAATGCCTATTCTGCTTTGACTTCACAGAGTCGATAAAGAGGATGGAATCAGATCCCATTTGTGGAATGCTTGGTAAATGTAAAGCATTACACAGATGCAAATTAGAATTGATATTCCTGCCATCACTTCTTGCCCCTCCCTTTCATCCTGAACCCCATGAAACCCCTATTCCCAGATTAACATTTTTAAAATTTTGTTTATGTCATGTCTTTGCTAGAGTTTTCAGCTCCTTCCATATTTAAAACAACTACTTCTGACAATCAGTTGGAAATGCCTGTATTTTATGTGTATTTTTATTTATAAATTACTTCATGAGTTTCTCTCTTTCTCTCTCTTTCTCTCTCTCTCTCTCTCTCCACACACATACTCCAAAGCATATACCAAAATTAGATTTTAAAAGGCTGCAAAGGTGAAATTGCTAAGAATATTGTTAAGATATTTTAATTTTATTTTTAATACAATTTTAGTCTCACTTAAATATAATATTGCTAAAAATCCTGATGCTTATTTACAAAATCATGATTGCACGTTTTATTAATCATGATGGCTCTATACTACCATTTGCTAAAAAGCTCAAGGAACAATATCTACTTGGAAGAGGCTTTCTGCTAACAACAGTGGATATAGACCTTTACTTCATATAGTTTTCTTGATAATTTTAGTTTTGTAGGAGTAAAAAAAGTGTCCATTTTGCCATTTCTCTGTTGTTCACTTATACTTGTATACTTAGTCTTATCTTTGATCCACAATTTCTTTACAGAAATCTTTTAAAACCATCCATCCATTTTGTGAAGATTCACTGCACTAGTAAATGGCAACTCCTTTTCACACCCTCATCCAACCCACCAGCAAATGGGTTCGCAATACCTCCAAAACATGTCCGGAACCCATCCCTTTTTGCCATGTCTTCTGCCACCATCCTGGGCCACACCACCATCCTATCTGGGCTGAACTATTGCATATGCTCCTACTAGGCTCCCTGCTCTGTCCCTTCTTTCCTACAGTCTCTCCTCCACAAAGCAGCCAGTTACTGTGATCCTTCTCAAATGAAAGTCAGGGCATGACCCTCCTGGTTCCAAACCATGCAGTGGACTCTCATCTCACTCAGAATGAAATCCAAAGGACTTGCAATGGCCTTCCCAGCCCCTGCTCCATCCAGCCATGCCCTGTCCATTACTTGTAATCTCACACTCCCATCCTTGCTCACCTGGCTCCAGCCACATTGGCCTCCTATATGTTCCTTGGACACATCCAAACACATTTCCACCCCAGGGTCTTCTACCTGTCATTGGCTCTGCCTGTAACACTCTTTTCTCAGCTCTCTGTATGCTTCCTGCATCACTGCCTTAAGATCTCTGCTCAAAGGTATGTGCTTCCTGACCACTCTAGATGAAATAGCAGCCCTGCACCCCCACCCCACCCCAGCAATCCTCTGTCCCTGGGCACTGCTTTATTCTTTTTCATAGCACTTATCACCACCTAACATGTCTTACATATATTTGTTTATTGTCTGTCTCCACCCCTGAGAATATAAACTCCAACAACAGCAGGTACTTTTATCTTTTTTGCTTATGGCTGTATCCTCAGTGCCTAGAACAATATCCAGCATAAGTACTCAATAAATGTTTATTATTGAATTAGTGGCACTAATTAATATTATTTATATACCTATCACTAGTTGGCATAGGGTATTTCTGTTGAAGATGCTTTTTACTCATTGTTTCTTTTAGTTGTCT